GTTTCCTAGAGCAGCTACCCATTTCTGCTTCCAGACAGAGTAGGGCTGTGAACTATCTTTTTCCAAGATGGTTACACTTCAGTACTTCAGCAAAGGTTCAAACTCTGCGCCTTTCAATTCAGATTCTAGTGTACTGATCAGAAAGCCACAAAACAGGATATGTATACAAACATATTCAATTGCCATCTGTAGAAAGTTTTTGTGATCAACAGATGATGTCCTCTTTTTCAGGCGTCCTCATCTTGAAGCAACAGTTCGTCTGTTGCTCTGGAGAGGTGCAAATCCGAATGCATCATCTCTTCCAATGCCAGTTCTGTTTTTTGCTGTGAAAGCCTCAGACACTGCAGCTGTTGAGATTTTACTCCAGAAAGGAGCTGACACCTCTGCAAAATTATCAAAAGAAGTAAGAATCAGCATTTTTGAGTGGAATTTGTCTTTGGTTATACAAATATTGTCATCTAAGATTTAATTTAATTGAAAGACAAGCAGGGTACTTGTACACATGCAGGTAACAATAATCTCAGTAATTGGAATCATGGCACGTTCCAAAAATTGAATTTTGAACAGTTTCATTAAGTTTACATTGCGTAAAGTAGAAGCTTCAGCAGAGTTGTTAAAGATGTGGCATTTATTATCTAACTCATTGTTTGGCCTTGTTTTTGTCATCAATAACCAGCAATCAGGAATTGCACCTCTGCATATTGCTGTAGCTCTGCCCGACCAAACAGGAGTGGAGATCACAGAGTTGTTGCTGAAGGCAGGTGCTGACCCAAACATAAGAGATTGTGCATTTGGTTCTGAAGAAAATGGAAGAACTCCAGCACATATAGCCTGTTCAAGAGAAGATAATGACCAGGTATTAAATGTGGTCACACTTATATATATACAAGTACAGTCCATATTCATCTTCCCCATCTTCTTTTTCCTTTTTGATTTATTCTCACCACAGGGTGTTTTTCTTTGATTCATTGGATAAATAAAGGAGCACAGAATCTAAAGATGACTGAGGTTGGATTCGTTGTGGGGCTTGGAATTTTTTTTTTAAAGTTTATCTGTCACTCCAATTAATTTAAACATTGAACAACCCCAAGGAAAAATTCAAAATTTGTTACATAGCTCTGTTATCTGTAGATGTAAGGTGAGTTATGATTTATGTATCCCCTCACTTAAGTTGTGGTCTTGGTCATTGACAAACAATCTGTGAAACAACTAGGAAAGGAAGACCTCCACCATAAAGGCATTTCAAAAGTTCGGTTGCCAATAAATTCTGAGGTGACATACGTTTTTTGTATTGCAAGAAGTGAAAATGGTGTCCTATAACATGCTATCAGTTGTTGCATTACTTTGAGTAATTTTGTGGTTAGTTTTAATATACATGGTTGCTTTCAGGTATCATGTGCTGTTGTATGGCTTTTGTTAGAGTATGGAGCCAATCCGGATCTTTTGTGTGAAGGACATTCTGCCCTTTCCTTGGCAATCTGCAGTGGAAATGACTTGGTAAAATATGACGTCCTTGAAAACCATAGTCAGTTATAAATCTCTTCTGATTAAGGGGTGTAGGTGTAAGCCCTTACGGGCTCATTGTGGGCCATTGTGGGCCATTGTGTTCATGCTTGGGTAAGACACTGAACTCTCACAGTGGCTCTCTCCTGTCTCCACCCAAGAATGATAATGAATAGTGCTGAGGTATCATCGCAACTAGCCAAATTCTGGGTTAATCTAGCACAGTGTAAATGGTGTTTTAGCTTTGAAGTTTCCACTTTCATCAGAAAATTTTGAAACTTTTTGTAAACTCTCCTCATTCCTTTGACAGGCTGTAGACACACTTCTGAAACATGGAGCTAACCCCAGTCTGCGTCTCTCCAAGGGAGTCGGTTCGGCACTTTGTGGTGCTACTTCATTCATGGCAGAAAGGAGAAGGACTCCAGCTGGAAGAATTAAGCTAGTAAGCTCATTTGAATGTCAACATCTGAGTTGAGAGTGAATGTTAGTTTACCTCAAGCATCGTGTACTAGAAGAATACCTTTCAGTAACGTTTGGGTATCATTTGATTATCTGCTGCTTTTTTATGATCAGATAAACAAGATCATGAGAGCTGGTGCAAACATTTTGTCGCCCATAATCGTGAATCAGAAATATCCACCTGGAACCGTTGTTGATTATGCCTACAGTGTATTTTATCAGGTGAGCAATTAGAATCTTACTGCATATCCTACCAAATTTTGGTCGGAATTTTGCAGTCCGTTTTTGCTAAACATCATCACTATTTCCTTACAGTTTAGGAAAAAGACCAGTTTTTCTGCACCGTCTTTGTACAGTGTAGTTCCCTTTTAAACCACTTCATTAATACAGCCAGAATGGTTTAAACTGTGATGTAATGCCAATCTCACATATTCCTAAACTTCCAAACAGGAAACTTATTGTTGTATTAATGTTAATAAGTTAGAAATGTGTAACAGGCAAAATTCCTAAACGTCTTTTTGTCGGCGAGTCAGGTAAGTATCGGTATCTTAAGAGTTGTTACATGTTTTACTTTGAAATACCCTTGTTCTCTTGGGATCTCTGCCACGTTAACCGTCAACCTTTTACTGATTATTAGGACCGCAAGATTGCTCACACTCCATACCATGCCCTAACAGCAACAGAACGCGAGTGTTACAATGCGCGCCGGGAAATGTTGGATCATCTGGGGGATCTGCTGAGGACTCAAGTGTTGAATAAAGAAAAGGAACTGATAGAGAAACAGCTGAAGGAAGTGAAAGGACAGGCTGAAGGTGATTTGTGAATATATTCTAGTAAGAATTTCACGGTACGAGACGTCTTTCGGATGTCTTACCATGGGAAGCTTTGGTTTGCCCATGATATTTTGCTATCTAAATCTAAATGTCTAATCTGCAAAGGGCAATACAGCTAGTGATTTTTACCCTAACTTGTGCTCTTGCCGTGAAATATGCAGAAAAACATATTAATTTTTTTTTTCAGAGTCACCTTATTGATTCTCCTTTGTGGATGCTTCTAAATATAGACGCGAATATGTGTGTGTGTTTTTTTTCGCTGTAGGAACGCAGAATGTCGATAAAAGTCTACAGTCTACCTGGGGTATCCTGAAGTCATCTGACAGACTGAGCAGGCTGAGAGAGCACGACACCTCCCCTGCTGAAAAAAGAGACGCCTTGAAATGTAGCAGGGTGAGCTTCAGACTTGAAAATGAGGTCTCTGGTGAAGACGACGGGGAGGCCCACGAAATCGAGGCTCAAGCAGATCGTGAAGTCGAGGCCATTACTGGAATCGATGGCGAAAGTCCTGGAATGGATAATGAGGTAGGATCGTTGAAGTACTATTCTCTTCTCCATGTTCGTTTAGATAATTGTATTTTTCCTTGGATGGATCATGATCTATATCACTGTTCTTTCATTCTAGCAAGAGAAAGTTGCTTGGGTGATTTATAATTTCAATGGATGGATCATGATCATAAATATATCATCATTCTTTCTTTTTAGCAAGAGAAAGATCGCATGACGTCAGAAATGTCACCCGCTCCTGATGCTAGCAAGGAAAGCACTCCATGTTCTCTAAGGTCCAGCGCTCCCGAGCCGTCCTTGAAACCCCAGTCTCCAGGCCGAGACGAAAACTGTGGACTGCGAATTGCTGTGACTAAAGCCGCTGATCACATGAGTATATCTGCACTGGCGACTCAAACTTTGAAACAACGAAAGCAAGTGATGAAAAACCGCTTTCGATACTGTTATGAGTGCGGACGCTCAATAGCAATTCGCTTGTCGGCCTGTACAAGATGTAAAGAGGTCTTCTATTGCAGTAAGTCGTGTAAACTGAAGGCGTGGAATGCGAGGCACAGGGAGGAATGTGTCCGACTGACAGGTGGTGGGATGAAGACAACTTCCAACCGGCGAGCAGAAAGCCCCACCCCCACCACTGACCCTGATGTACCTCCTCCCTCTACCACTCCCTCAGGGTCTCAGAGGAAGGCGCCTTCACGGGGAAAGGGAGAAAAAGTGCGTAAACCACAGACTGTTTCGGCTTCGCGAGTGTCTAAGCGGAATTCTTCTCCGTTGGCAACGAAATTCAAGAAATAACGGTGTGTTGTAGGAAAAAGGTGTGTGTTTTGGTTTGAAGAGACCAGCAGAATTACCTTTACTATCTAGAACAGCGCACCTTGGCTTTTAAAAATTAGCAGAATGGCAGCTCAACAGAAAAGCAGCCCTGACCCTGAATAATCATCATGATTAAAGTGTTACGCAATTAGTTTTTCATTTCTCGTCACAATCATTTAATACCATAGTTTCTTTGCTGAACCTGAAAGTGAACAGAGAGAATGAACGTAATAATAATAGAAACCTAATTAAATTGTCACCAAAGTTGTATTTGTTGGCGGGCCGTCTAAGATTTCTAGAGCCGGTGAATTACACTCAGTTCTGACCTAAGTAACGCTTCGCCTATCATTAGTAGTTGTATTCGGGGTTTAAAGTGAATATTTAAATTCCATTTTTGCTTTGGCCCAGCCCTAAAATGCCCTGTAAGCCAACGGAACACATGGAAACTTTTTATCCATTCTTAAGTCGCGCTTCATTGGAAATTGATGCAGTGACGGTCGTTTTGATTTTTTCAGTCTCTCCAATTATTTTGGCGGTAATAGGTGTGTGTTTCGTTTGTTTTGTTTTGCTTTATTTATTAGTATCGTTGTAATTGGGTGTTGATACAAGATTTCTTCAGTGGTTTTATTTATAATCGAAATCTTTGTATATTTAACTAACCACTCGTTTTGCACAATATGATTATATTTATGAGGAATAAATAAAAAGGTATTTTTTTTTGTATTAAAACTTCCAGTGGCATCAATATTCTGGAGCGGATCCAAGAGTAGTTCGGATGATTCGGTCGAACCCCATAAACCAAAAATCTCCAAAAAATACGAATCAAACACTGTGCATTTGCTTTAAAAGAAAAGAAAGAAAAAAAAGAGACATAAAAGGGGCAAAAAATGATAGAAAAGTCTTTATTTTTCCTAGCGTGAATTTTTAAAGCACAGAGCGAGAACAATTACACAACTGCAACTTGTGTTTTATTTTCTTAATTGGTTTCCACAGTGGTAGTACTCGTGTAAAATAATTCAAAACAGATATAGTTTAAGTGGTATAAAACAATCAACAATCATCCCTCAAAATGCTGGAAATCGTGCCTCCAAAGACCTAATTTTCAAAATTGTCCGGGAGAGGGATGCCCTTTCTCTCTCTTAATGCGTCTGTTCTCATTATAAAGTCCGCTTTCTCTTCATTTTATTTCTTTTCTTTGTGTTCTTTTTTCAATACTTGTTCCACGATACACGAGTAAACCTCGCTGACTATAGACCCGCCAAAAATTGCGAAAAGGAAAGACGATCCCAATGTCTCCATTCTATCATTTAATTTCATTCTCACTTGGTTTTAAAATTCCATCAAGGGTTAGGTCCAAGAGTCTACTCATAACCAAGTTGCTTTATATATTCTTTACATAACTTGTCTAACTTTCTTAGACATACATATAATTTTCTTAGCTTCCTCTACTGTCCAACTTACATATTTACAATACCACTGTGAATGTTCATTACTTAATTATATTGGATTTCTGTACATTGTTATTTTGAATATTTTACTCAATTTGAAATCCATGGTTTAATTTCTCTTTTCTATGAAACTCATCTCAGGTTCGATTTTGTTGTCTAAGTCTGTTGACGTTCTGATAAGGAAATTTGAATAAGAGAAAAATGGTGATCAAAGAATAGTTAGGAGACAGCAGATGAGAACTTATCAGTTGTGATTTCCAGCGTGTTCTTTGAAAGAAGCATTTCTCCATCAGATGAATTTTTTTATCTTTCTAAATTTTTTTTCTCGATATCACCCTCAATCGAAGTCCCAACTATTTTACACTACTGGACTGTGTGTCGACGATGTTCATATTTTTTATCAGCCAAACAAACGAAAATGTTTTTCCCTGTATGGAAGTTTTGATCCAAAATCTGGAGTATGTACCTTAAACAGATCGTTTAATCTGAATGCTGCAGTTCATTCAAACTCTCGACGCCATTTTGATATAAAAAAAACTGATCAAAATCTGACGACGGCTTCCATGCGAACGTCAAACCATCGAACTATTAGGCTGAGCAGCCGTATTTCGTTCAGCGCCGCGTCGCCGTGGATCGAGGACATAAATGTAATTCTCATTTCCGCGTGATTTTGATCTCGGGTGAAACGGAGGAGCGTGAACTGGAGTAGGTGCATAACAACCGTCACCTAGAGGCCTGGGGCTGGCTGTAAACTTGCATATTCCGTCTTGATCGCTACTGTTCGTTGTATTTGAAGATATCGATGTAGTTTCCAAAGTTGGTATCCCATAATACTGATCTAGGTTATGTCTTTTTCCAAACTCAAGCGCGGATATAAGTTCATCGCGTGACGAGCTGTACTCCGAAGAAGCCGAATCATAAGCGCGAGGATCACGCGATCCTAAGCTTCTGTCATAGCCTCTGTGGTAGGGGCTGAGTTCTTTTGATGACCCAGACTCCCGCCGCTGGGGTGTTGGCATCGGTCGCAATACCGGCGTCACTTGACTAGAGCCACGTTTAGAATTAACGCTTGTTCGGCGAAGTTCATTCCGTGATGGGCCTAAGCCCGAGTCACGTGATCGCGGTCCCCCGGACGCCGGGCTTTGAGAATAAACCGGATGAACCAGTTCCTGGCTTTGCCCGCGGCTTTTACTTTTACTTAATCTACTCGCCCCTGCTGAGTGTCGCAGGTCAATATTAGACTCCATTGTCCGTGATATGCTGGTTGTATCGAGTTCAGACCCCCCGTCAGCATGTCCGCGGAATCCTAAGACCCCGATGCCTGGAGTTCCGTTCAGCGATCTCTGCGTGGTGTAGAAAGTGGGATACACGCTATGATCGCTTGCATCGGCAAAACGTCGCGCGCGAGCGGCTGAATCAGTGTCATGGAGAATAGGTCGGTGATAAACTGGATTATTAAAGTTTCCCTCTGAAGAAGTGTCACTGAAGCTTCCTTCATATGGTGGAGCCTGACCTGTTGTCCCCGGGTGATACGGAGGGGGAGGGGGTGGGTAATCCTCCTCCAGTATAGTCTCTTGAGCAAAATGATTGCGGAGCATGTTAGTTGGGAGACTGATCTCAGAGCCGTGCGTGGACCGTGTTGGGTCTAAGGAAGAAGAGGAATCTGCCATGTTACCATTAGTCGCAGGACTGCCTTCTGACTGGTCTGGGTTACTTCGCCTGAAAAAGAATGATACAGAGCGGTTTAAATTATTTGAAGGAACTTAAACTTGTTTTCTGCCCTATGGCGCTCGCTATTTGCGGTATTATCTATTCGTGCAAGTTCACAGCTTCAAAGAAATATGTAGTGAATAAAAACAAGAGTTAGGTTAACGGAGTTGTACTTACCTCGAGCTCTGATCGTAATCCTCCTGGTCGACCGGAAGTTGCTCGCGAAATATTTTCCCTTTCCAGTATTTCCTCCAGTCTAGGAGATTAAAATGAAATATCAACTTTTCAGTGAAATGATAAGAAACTAATAAAAAGAGAACCAAGACCATGTAACTAATACTATTTTTTCCAGTGATAAAATCCACTTCAAGGTTTTGCCAAGCCTAAATGGAGCCCCTCGCGTTGAAAGGTCACGGTAATCTTTAACTCAGTTTAGACAGTTTATGTATGAATGACATCGTTCCTAAAATCCTAGTAAAGGAGGAACGAAATTGATACAAGGGGATCTAGACTTAGAGAAATATGTGACATTCTCGTTCCAGAGCCCTCGTTAGTCTTATGGAAGGGGTGGCAGTGGCTCCTGTGTCAATCAAAACTTTACACGATTGGCAGGGAAGACAAATAAAAAAAATCCGTTAGGAGCCTTCGAACCTTGCTGCTGACCAAAAGAAAAGCAGCTCTTAAGAATGAATTGAAGAATCTGTCTGCACCATTACCGTGAAATTTGTCGAGATCAATGCGTCCTCCTCTAAAGGCGACCAGCAATAAACACACAATGACGACAACAATGAGTGCTGCGACACCGATCAAAACTCCAAAGAACGCGCGATTGCGATAAAACGGAGTTCTTTTGGGGGCTGCTGCTTCAACGTCTCCCACTTTCTCCAAAGTGACAATAGGTGTGTTTCTATCTATTTAATGAAAATCCCAATAACTATTACAGTTACCTAAGTCTGGCTGACATCACCTGACCTATAGGCGAATTCATGCTGACGTCATTGTTTACATTTTTGCTCATTTGCATACGGCTTTGCGTAAAGAAGGAAGCATGTTAGATACAAATTGACTTCAGGCAGCTAAAGAGCTAGAAAACCTTAGTACATGGTGAAATTTTTAGCTCTTTGGGTGTAATATTCAAGGAGTTATAGTCCATCATAAACTGCAAAATTTCTGGGTGACAAAAGCGCTAATGAGCTCATACATTCTATGTAAAATTTTGAGTTTTTAAACCCGTGTTGCACAAAAAGTATTCAATGCATCGGGCTCGTATTCATTGGCCGAGTTAATCGTACTTTGACCTTTCGATATTCAGAACTGATTTATTTTTAGCTCCATCAGAAACTGAATTGCTTATGCTAGTGAGGCAAATATTGTAAACAAGGATTCCCCTATACTCACTCTTTACCCCAGGGATATCACCTCTGGGAATTTTTGAGCTTAAGTCTTAAATCTAAGGTTACGATTTGATCAGATCAATTCTCTTTTTTAGCGCTTTTCGAGTGAGTGTCGTAAGTACAAAACCAAAGACATTACAGCAGCCAATCAGAGCTAAAAATTATGAGGAGCAGATGAGATATTGAGGAATTACATGCAATTAACTTAAGGCGCAGGCGCGGGAGAACGAGAATTATCATGAATTATAGCTACGGTAGAGGGTTTGGTTGAAAGGATGGCGCATTTAATTAACAAACCCAGCCACAGAGCGCTGCGAAGCGAAACAAGCGCAATCCTACTTTACTTTCGACAACCAATTTAAAGTTGCTCTATCACAAAGCATTTCAATCGCCCTATCCGACTTGACGTAACTTACCACCAAATACAACTTTACGCACTGCACTTGGAGTCCCTCTTCCTACTGCATTTAGCGCAGAGATCCTGAAGTAGTACACTTTGTTGAAATCCACTTTGTACAACAGGTAGTAGTTGATGTTACTTAGGATGTACTGGACTTCCCACTTTTCGCCCTTTACTTTATATTCAAGAATGAACATAGTTACGAGGCTGTTTCCGTCACCCCATTCGCGCCAGGTGATATTTAGAGCGGTACCATTAGTGAGAATTTTGAATTCTATCACTTTCGGTGGTAATGGCGTCGCTGGCGAGACGAATAATAAAAGCATACGGTTAAAGCAACTCGTTACGGCCATTTGTATTAGTCGCGAAATTGCTGAAAAGCACTCAAGATAATGCTCAGCAAATCAAACTTCATAAGTCTATTTGTTCAAGAAAGAGGCCGAGGGAGGAATGTAATACTTTCACAATAAAATGACAATCCAAGTTGAAAACAGGAACCAGTATCCCTCAGATCAACTTAGTCAAACTTAGTAAATAACTGTGAAAAAATTGAAAGAGGACAAGGCCCATAAAACGCAATTCAGTACTAGTAGGGAAACATGGCGAGACTACGAGTACGAGTTAACTACTGAGAGATGGGAGAGAAAAATATTTTTCAAGACATTACCAGCATGAATTCATTTCACATTTCTAGGAAAATGTGAGAGTCAACAATCACTTTTGCTTATCCGTATTCTTTCTGGACATGTCTATCATTACTCAACTGAACTTTTGTTCCAGGGAGTTCTCCTCTCTCTAAGAAAATTAAAAAAGAGAAAGCCTGGAAACAAAGTCGAATGTCATACCCTTACTTTTTACTTTGAGTTTCCTGATAACTGTTTTCCGTCCCAGTTTGTTACTTGCCGTGCATTCATACTGCCCGGCGTCAGCTTCTCTGACGCTAATGATCTTTAAGGAGCCGTTTGTCAGCTGACGGTATTTCGTAACGTCTGTCAGCTCACGACCACTGCTGTACCACATCACCGAAGGCTTAGGGTAACCATAAGCTTCGCATTCTAAGATGGCGGATGTTGATCTTGTTGCAAGGGTCACCGGTAAATCGTCGTTAAAGATGTTGGCTGGAACTGTAAATAGGAATTTTTCTCATAAAAAGGATGTCTTTGTATTCAAATCAATCGGAGACGAAAGTACAGTCTTTTTATTCATGCTTTGCGTTTTCCAGTCAATCGAATGTTGAGGAAAAATTTTTGTTTTATCAGATTGTGTTTTCCGCTCAACAAGGGTGACAAAAGCTCTGAGGAAATGCACACTTACTTGATTCTTGCGTCGTTTGCCTGACTACCGTAGAATTGCCTCCAACTCCGATGGCAGTGCTTGCTTTCACCCAGAAACTATACTCGGTATCAGACTCTAACTTAGGGAGATATTTTGACGTCATATTCCCACTTAACACATATTCAGTGGGGTCAGTGAGAAGCGAGTCTGCGATACTCTTTCTGTAATAGAGTAGATACTCTCTTATAATGCCATTTGGTTCTAACGGAGGATCCCAGAATACACGGATTGTCTGCTTGGAAACTGGGATGGCCTGGACATTACTTGGAGGTCCTGGGACTGTAAGAAATCACAGTGGCTTCAATTAGATGTCGAGCAAAGTTTGATCAAATTGGATTATGAAACAAGGTGGTAAAATAAATTTACAAGTCACGAGTTTATACTGTAAAGGTTCGACAACCAAGACAGAGTTGCCTTTCAATCAGTTTAAGTTTGTGATCAAGCTTAGTTAACTCATGTTAGCATTGCTCTGCTTCTCCAGTTAAGGTTTTAATAAATGCACAAGATGTCGGTATTTGACTTCTTTTATCTTAAAGGTAATTTACGTGCGAGTCTGTATTCCAGACCTATTAGTTTGTTCGTATTGACGCTTGAAGTGACCATTGCATATAATCACTCAGATTTGGTACCACTCCCCTGTCGTTTTCTGTTTCATCGTGTAATTACACCTTTCTAATTTTTTTGTCTGTAAGATACTTCCTCTGTAATAAAAACTGCCCTTTTGAGTATTACCTTAGACTTGGTTCCAAATAGCCGAACAAATATAAAAAAGGAAATAATTCTTTCATCAAACTTACTGTCCTCTAGTGTGGTTGCAGCTCGTGGACGGCTCTTGACACCAGTCCCTACGCGAGTAAATGCCGCCACTCTGATCTTGTACGTAGTAAACTTGCGCAGTCCTGTTAAAGTGGCGTTCCACTGTCCATTAAATCCATTGGATCTGGTCACAGTTCTGTTGAACACTTGATTTGGGCTCTTGGTGCTGTAGTAGTACACTCGGTGACCACGTAACTGCCCGTTTATAGTGTTCTTGGGTGGCTCTTTCCACTTAACCTCCATGCTTTGCGAGCTGAGAACTTTGATCATGACTGACTGAGGAGGCTCAATGGGGACTAGTAACAATAAAGTCAAGAAAAAATTGCTTGCGTCATCACGTACGTAATCTATTTTAAAAAGGGAGAGCTCGAGTTCTTTTGAAGTGCTAGTGCACGTGTCAGTTACGCACACGTGTAACGCCGGAAAGACAGAGATCGTCAGCCATCTGCAGCCTCTCTTGATGAAGTCTATAGAAGCAAAATTTTACAATTTTTTCCAGATCTTCTTACAAATAGCGGCTATCTATTTATCCTTAGTGGATAAGAGGCATTGTGTAGAGTAACTTGTCTCATCCTTGAATTGAACACTGATTTAATCCTGTTACAGAAACCGGTTCTCTGATGACGTTCCCCACATTCAACCATCAACTAACTTGTTAATTCAAACATCACACAAAAGTGATTATTCAAACATGCAAACAGTCAAAACGCTTACCATCCTCATCTGTTTGAACTTCTTTCGTCGCTCTTCCTCTCGGACTCACTCCCGCTCGGGTAAACGCCTGAATCTCTATGATGTATTTCTTATAAGGATGAAGATTACTGATGACGTAATTTCTCCTTTCCCCACCCCTCACTGTTAAGTTTTTACTTCGATAGTACTTATTGTTTTCTCTGTACAGAACAAAGTAACCTCGGAGCACACCATTTCGGCTGGAAACAGGAGGGGCCTGTGTGAAGGTAAAAGGAAAACAAGAATTTCATAATATCAGCTTTTACAACATTCGTGGCTCATTTATAAAGAAGAGGGGGTCTGTTTACCCTGATTGCCTTAAAATATAAATCGAATAGAATGATAAAGTAGTATGGTTTGTCCAACGACGAAGTAATTTTTAAATAAATCGAATAGAATGATAAAGTAGTATGGTTTGTCCAACGACGGAGTCATTTTTAAATAAATCGAAACTTGTCACTGCATACTACAAAGTCAAAGGGGGCCAAAAATTTACTTGGTTTCCGATGAAATTGCAGAGTTCTTTCCGAGAAGAAAAAACACATTTCCACATCCGTTTAAATCTAATCAAATGAAGTTGTGCTGTTTGATTCCTAAACCGAGGTAAAATACCTCGA